GTTTATTTAGATTTTTAGCAAAAGGGGTACAGGACAGGATTGGTAAATTATATTGGAAGATACACGAGGATTATCTCTATATATTTGAGGTCACGGAAGGCAAGATGATTGAGATAACGGATGAAAATTGCGAGAAGATTGAAAGATTCTTAAAAAAGTATCGATCCTATTCATTCTATGAGGGATATAATTTGAAGATACTGAAATTATTGGAGTCGACTCAAATCAGGATGGTTGTATTGTCTGACATGGCAAACCGATTGTACACATATTCGTATAATATGCTTGGAATTCAATCTGATTATTTTCATGTTGATGTGAGAATTTAGTTTGCCAAACTTTGTTGATTCGATAACCATATAAGGCTATCCAAAAATTATTACGTATTGTTTTTTATAAATAAACATCTGATCTATCAGTTTCATCAAATATGGAAGGGTGTATAATTTGTTACGAAGAAATAAGTGATATGAATCCTGCATTTGTGATGCCCCTTTGCAATTGTCGATCGATGTGTGGTAAATGTATCTCCAAATGGTTTAAGGAGAATCATACCTGCCCATTGTGTCGTGTGGAGGATCCCAATAGACAAAATGATCACCAATTGAGATGTCAGATGAGACATCAGAGAATGTTACAAAGATTGAGAAGAAGGTATCAGAGATTATCTCGTGAATTGGAAATGAAAGCACATGTTGGATTACGAGAGCTTCGTGAGTATGAATATGATTTGGGAGTAATGCAAAAGATGTTGCAAGCATCACAGAGGGAGTTGCAAGAGTTTGAGAATACATTGGTGGGAGAACTTGAAAGGAGTGAGACGGAGCTCAAGAAATATCACATGACGCAAATGTTAAAGTTATGTTTATACGTTTTTGTTATTATCTTTTTATGTTTGGTAAAGTATTGTAAGGATAATATGAGTTTAGCAAACTTTTGATAACATGATTATATTTAAGATGTATAAATAAACATGGTTTTATTTTTTTCGTAATTTAAACATGACATTGAATTACGATATTCTTTACATTATATTCAAACTCTTGTCCTTCAAGAATCAATTAGAATTTCGACTTGTTAATAAAGAATGTAACAAGATTTATACACATTATCTTGATGATGTTCATTCATTGGATCCAAGTAGACACGTATTCTGTAGTGTTAATGTATCTCCCCAAATTTTTGAATTTATACATGTTTCCAAGAAGAATATCATATTCAACGTTAATGGAAAAGAGGTTTGAAGAAAGATTCTTTATAATAAAAGAATGGTACCATATTGTAGAGTTCCAAGTTATGGTCACTCGATGATACGCAAGGTAAATCGAAAAGATGTGGATTCCTTGGGTAAAAAAAATTGTCAGGGATGTGAAAAGTTCGATTATTGTGTCGATAGTTTGTGTTTTGATTCCAAAAAACAACTTGGTATATCATATACACTTAAACTTTGTGAAGATTGTGATAAGGTTAACGATGGTAAATGTACATATAGTTATGAGAAATTCAGATTTAGGGTAAAGATTTCACAATGTTTCATTCATTTTTATGATATAAATGATAATCTTATACCCAAACCCGATGGATTCAAATGTTACTGTGATAGATTTGTAGAACATAGAAATCCTGATAGTTTGGTTAGTACTTATGATTTAGATGGATTTAGTGGTTATATTATGGATATCGGAACCATCAAGTCATGTCGATTTTATTATAATGATATCAGATTATAATTTCAATAAATGTTAAATTCGAGATTTATTATATGATAATGATTACATGATTATTAAAAAAAAGTGATCATTCTAAAAATGTTATGAGAACTTTATTTCCATCATATTTCGTGATCACATTTGAAGCATAAACTTATATTTCCATTATCATTGGTTAAAAGGGATATAATTATATGGTCGTATTTACCACATTCCATGCAAATATCTTTACCAAAATCTTCTATAAATTCCTGAGTTATCAGGTAGAGGATGACTCCTCTATGTCTTGGATGTATGCAATAGTATCGATGAGATGTTTTGTCAGATCTCATGAGTTTCGATTCTTTATGGTATCTAGGAAAACGGACCATGAATTTTGTATGATTTTTGCAGTTGGACATGTTTTCGTTGTAATAAATTTCATATTGATATTTATCACCAATATATCCGAATTTGTATATGTCACATTCGATGGTCCAACGGCATGGAGTAAAGTATTGATTGAAGAATACGTATTTGTTATATTTTACGTCAATAGCATAGAATCTACGATTAACTAATTTGTAAGATTCACGATCAGATATTTTGGTGAGAAATAAAAAGATATGTGAGTTAAGTTTGACAGTACAGAAAACTTGATCTTGAGCTATTATTGAAGACATGATGATTTATTGAATAATTTATAAAAAATTTAAGTTTGCCAAACTTTGGATAACGTGATCCAACAAAAGATAACTATATAAGGTTAACTACGATTTGATACATTATATAATGATGTTGATTGTATCATGTATATTGAAAATATGTATAAACAGAGATACAAAAAACAAAATATGAAGAATTCGATGATTCAATATGTGTGTGCGACAGAGTATCATTGTGTAAACTGTCGTGAAAAATTTCAGTGTTCCGGTTCCTACAAGCCTGAAGAATATTCTGATAAGGTTAATTGTGAACTATGTGAAAAGAAGCATCGAAGATGTATCAACGAGTCATGTGAGATGTGTTGTGAAAATTATTGTTACAATTATGAATACCATCATTGTAATCAGAAGCATCAACACTGTACTGATGATGATTGTGAAAATTGCTGTCGAATGAATGAATGTAATGCCATGATCTGTTCCAGTTGTCTTGAATCTGATATTGAATGCAAGTGATCTATCACAACTTCTCAGACTGATTTCGATCGATCTGAGTTCATGACTTATTGTGTGGGTCAATATGAATCGACACCAGAGACTGAACGTATACATTATCAGGCATACTTCCAAATAGATAAATGAAGACGGGTAGGTGCGATCAAGAAACTTTTGGAAAACAATATGATTCATCTTGAAGGCACGTGGGGTAGTTTTGAAGAGGCCTCGAATTATTGCAAGGCTCCATTCTTTCAATGCAAAGGGACCTATTCTGAATTGAAGGATGAAAACTGCAAGCTATTTGATGGTGAAAAAAAAAGAAAACGTGTGGAAGATCCGGATAAATATTATGAGTTTGGTATTCCTAAGAAGCACTCACGTTTGAAGGATCAAAAAGATGTCAAGAGTTCTATGGACGAGATCAAGGAGGAAGATTTGGAATGATTAATGAATCTTCGGGATGGTGATATCAGTTATAAAGATGTGATAATGAATCAAAATTTGCAACTATTGAGTTGGCGTTTGAATCATAAGTTGATAAAAGAATTGGAATAGGAAGAGAAGATGTTGAAGGGATCAATTGTCAAGAGATTTTGGAAACCTGTTGTGATTTATATTTACGGTCCTGGTGGTTCTAGTAAGACAGGATTGATAACTGAGTTATTTTCAAATGTGATGTATAGTAAGTCCTCAAAGGATCAATCAGGTGGAAAGAATTGGTGGAATGGATATGATGGTCAATCGGTGGATTTCTTGAATGAATTTTATTTATATCAAGATTTCATGGGACAAGATGGTAAACTTGTTAAATGATACCGATTACTCGGTTGAGATCAAGTATGGAACCTTGAGATCAATTATCTCACGATACATATTTATGACGAGTACCCAATCACCACAGAATGCATATATTTATGGTACCGGAAATGATGAAAATGATAATAAACATTCATCTGAGCAGTTTCTCCGTCGTATTGATTATATTATCTGGTTGGAAGGGAAGTGGAATGATGATGTTGAGGAATGGACGACCAGAATATTTTTTGAAAACGGCGATGAGGATGATTTTCGTAACATGCGATGGGATATCAAATATAGAAGGTATGGTGATACAATCAATGAATTGAAACAAAAGATTAAAGACGTGAATCAAGATGTTGATGGTGAGATTATCATTAGAGATGATCAAGTTTATTTCAGGGAAAGATTTCCAGATCATAAGGTTAGATATCTTATGGATTACCCGATATATAAAGATTTGTCTGAATATAGATCGATTTAATTTGTTGTTTACAATATAATAAATATCGATTGGCATGATAAAGTGTGGCATTTTGTTCTAATTTTATATTTAATTTAATTGGGTTTAAAGTATGGTCATGGTATCAATCATTTGTTATAAATTGATCAGTTGTTTGATGTGTATTATGTTGAGATCAAGATTTGTAAGAGAGGTAATATTTGATCGAATTGGATGTAGATGAATAAATATTTATTTATATTTTTTTATAGGATGGAAGTATGAACAGTTGCATATGAAAATAATCCAATTTTATTGGATAAGAATATATCACATTTATACAAGATCATAATATTACGATGGAGTATCTATTATATTCGAAATAATGGTTTGAATGATATTCGAGCTTATCAGGATGCATTTTCTTCTGTTTTTTTAAATCCCAATAATAGGATTGGTAATGACGAATTAGCAATTTTGTATCGGGCAGGTTCAAGACTATGGGATTATAATGTTCAGAGAAATGCAGTCATTTTTAAGGGTGGTAGTGAGGTTCGGAATACTGTAATTCTCAATATATTTGATTATAGGACTCAGGTTGATGATTATTGTAATTGGTTGGTTTCGAGTGGTGATAATGTTGATCCAAGATCTCTTAATCAAGATCAAGTTCATAAGATTGAACAGATTTGTGATAATTTCGGAATTGAAGACAAGGGGAACATTGATTTGATGTTGGATAGTCTTTTATTATTTTCATGTGTTTATAAGGGATGATATAAATATCCCGTTTGTTTATTGTATTTTGATAAACGATGTCTTTTTCGGATAACTCAATTTTATTTGATAAAAATATTCCACATTTTTACAAGATTATTATTTTGACATATGCTTCATGGCAAAAGGTTCATATGGATATGACGAGTACCGTTAATTACCAAAATGCATTTTCAGAAGTTTTTCAGAATCCTGACGATAGTATCAGTCGTGAGGTATTGGAAGTGTTAAAAAAAACTAGAGGAGTAAATGTCGAGAGACATGTTCAGAGCGCTGCTACTGAGTTCAAGAGAGATAATGATAGACATATTCGTGATGATCGGGACATTGTCAATGTAATTAATTATAAAGATATTATTTCGGAATATTGTGATTGGTTGAGTTCAAATTTGATGAATGATATCGGAATGAAGGTTTATTCGATTTGTCAAAAGTTGGGAATTGAAAGTGATCCCAATTCTTTGGAAAATAATTTAGATAAAATTAAACAAGCGTGGATGACATTGCGAATATTAAATGATGTATAAATTTATTTTTTTGAAAGCTATAAAATGACGAGTTTATCGTGTATTTGCGTAAAATATGTCTGAAAATTCTGTTCTCTTTCTCAAGTTATTGAAATTGTCTCCTGAATATACATTTTGGATCTATTTTACTGAATCATTTTTGATACCTTTATTACGTACAATCACGTCTGTTACATTGATAGTAGTAGTATGTTCCCTACTGAAATCTTTACGATCATAATTAGATCTCTACTCATGAGATCATTTTATAATGGATTATATAAAATACCTATCGAGACTATTAAAGATTTGAGATTAGTATCAAGAGGTATCAATAACATTGTTCAATCTGTGATTCGAAGAAAATATAGTATAACAAGATTGCAAAATATCAAGAAACATCTTTGGAAGGATATTGTGGATGCCAATATTTGTTTCATATTTATTATTGAAAACGAATGTGAAATTGCACAAGTCAAAATGCGTGATATGAATCTTTTTTCAGTCGAATGTATGATGAAGGATTTAGGTTTATATAAAAAGTTCATAACAAGGTATAGGTCTTT